GAACACGTATTTAATTTTGTCATAATTTTTCATTTCTTTTATTTTTTTTTTTTCTTTTTTTGGTTCAACGAGATAAATTCAAAATTTAAAAATACCGTAGAGGTTCTCTTCTTCTTTTTTTTTTATTTTTAAAAAGAAGAAGAAGAAGAAGTAGTAAGTGTATCTCGGTGAGACAACATTTGCACGATAAAAACTGTTACTATCTACTTCGTAGAGATTATATAAAGTTCTGAAACTCCAATGTATTCGGTTCAAAGTATGTATGCATCATATAAAAAGATAAAATTAATGACGTTTATAGAGAAATGATGACTAACAAAAAAAAAAAAAAAGAAAAAAAAAAAAAGAATAAACAAAATCATAGCCGTATTTAATTTCGATTAAAAAAAAATCAACAACGAAAAATGGATGGATGAATCAAACTTCGAGTTTCGATTATTCATAATCGAATCTTACGTGTACGACCTTCCTCATCTTCCTATTCCGCCCCCCCCCTACCCCTCCCCTCCGCTTAAACTTACTGTGTGAATGCACAAAGGTGAATAGATAGAAATAAAAAGAAAATAATTAGCAGTAATTGTGTCGGTTAATAGGTCAATGTCTAGATTAAATAAGTTTCATATTTATATGCGAATAAAATTTAACGATTGTAATTCTAGCGATCTCAGGTGTAGTTAACGCAGCATCTTTGTTATTGTAATATTCATGTGTGGGAAGAATACACACACACATATATATATATAGAAACGCATACAAATGCGCAATACGTGCAGTAGCAGCTACTGCACGTAACGAAATGTTTTCACACGAAATGTGTTGTATCATGAATGATCAAGCGAATAAATACAATAAATAATACTATTATATTATAATTATTATTATTAATAATATTAATCATCATCTTTATATATATATATATATATAAATATAAAATATAAGAGAATGGAATATATAAAAAGAATATGAGAAATCTAGAAAAGATATAAAGAGAAAGAGAAAGAGTGAGAGAGAAGAAGAAGAAGAAAAAAAAAAAACGTATTATTATTTTAATATCACCTCTCAGACATTGCTCACCTGTTGAAGGTTTGTTCGTATCGTTTGATCTCCCTGCGAGATAACTCATGGAATTCTGTATATACGTTAACAAATCTGTATTGTTTCTTAACTTCTTTACCCTCATCGAGATCCTCGTTGATCCGTTGCCTCCTGCTAAGAATATTACTGAGCTCAGGATCGACAGACATTTCTTCTTTTTATATATAAACTTTTTTTTTTTTTATTTAAATCGATTCTTTTTTTCTATTTTCTTCACTCTTCAAATCGAATGGAAAATATGAATTTGTTTCTTTAGAAATTTTTGAAATGATGTCCCCTTTTTATGGAAAAGATGAAATTTTCACGTTTATAATAGACAGGTAAAATAACACCAGAAAAATATTTCTTCTTCTTATTCTTCTTCTTTTAATTCGTTTGAACGTTTATGTGAAGGTAAATAATAACGTAACCAACGTAAGAGATCCTTGGATGTTTGTTTAAATCCTCGCTAAATTGTTCTGTCAAATTACATAGGACACAGTCAAACGAGAGAGAATAAGAAAGATAAAGACAGAAAAAGAAAGAGAGAGAGAGAGAGAGAGAAAGTGAAAAAGAGTAAATGAGAGAGAGAAAGAGAAGAAGAAGAAGAAGAAGAGAAATAAAAGACGAACCACACACCGCGATGAGACCACATGCACTGGCGTGCAATGACGGCGCGCCGTACGAATCGACTGGTACAAGCGCGGATTCGTTCCCAGGACCGTATCTGAAAAACACCGTTAAGGCGCTTACTTATACCACCCCCATTTTTTACCTGGATGTAATATATATATTTTTTTTTTATTTTCTTTTTCATATTATTTCTTCTATCTCATCATTATTTTATATTAGAATATTTATTTTGTAATATATATATATATCACAAATGTATAATAATAAGAATATTTATTTGTAATATAGAAGTATAGAAGAAGTAGAATAATATGAATATTTATTTTGTAATATATATATATATGTATCGAATAAAATAATCATTAATAATTTTTAGGTGAACCAAAAATTCGTGCGGTTGTTTGTTGCGTTACGCGTTCGGATAGTGGAATGTTTTTTTTTGTTTTCATAATTAATACGATTACTTTGTATTATACTCGATTGAAATATAAATTTTAATAAACTCACGAACTTTTGATACATTCTAATATTAGGGTATGTTATTTATTTAATATCATTTTATTTGTAAGATAATATAAGGATCTTACCTGCTTTGATGGAAGGTATATTATTCGTTGAAGATAATTATTGAATTGCGAAAAAAGAAAATTGCTGCATGATAATAAACGAGAAAGAGTACGTTTGAGTTATTTTATTGTTGATATAATGGAAAATATTTCCTGATTTTCTCTTTTTCTTTATACCTTTCGCGATTAATTTTCAATCGCGAAAGAACTAATATGCGCAGATTTTTTGCGCAACTCTAGTTATTATTATTTCAAATAATTCTATATAGGTTATCGAAGTTTGGAAAAAAAAAATCAATTAACTTATCGATGATATCTACAAGTTAAGGTAATTAACTGTTTAATTAATTTGTTGCATTATCAATTTGAATAAATGCAATGTCAATGCGTTGAAAAATAATTATTTCTGAAAAGAAATATTATCACACTTTTTTGGTTCTTCACTAATACGCTAGTACACTATTCTGATCGATTTCTTTGTTCATGTCATATTCAAAATATCAAAAAAGTGTGTATAAATTAGATTGGCCAATAAATTCGTGCGATTTCTTTTAAAAAATGACACATAAAAACGCATTAACTATTGGCTAACCTAATACTTTATATCAATTTTCTATAACCAATAAGAAGTTATCTTAAATATCAAAGTTCCTTTATATTTAATTTAATTGGCTATCACAGAACATAGTAACAAACTATGTATCGTTACGATTGGTTAAACTGAGTACAAGTTTATTAATATTGAACGACTTCCTGTGAGTGTTCATTTTACAATAATTATTCTAATAAATTAAATAGATAAGAGAGTGTTATTTAAAAAGAAATTATTTTATCGATTCAATTATATATAAACCATTCATAATTAATAATTTAGTTGGTTTGTTGTATTAACTAGTGGAATGCGTGTACAACCAATTACAATTTTAAAATTTAAAATACCCTATGATGTATCACAGTAAAATCCCTAAAAAAAACATGGCGATCATTTGAACGCGTATAGAAATATTTTACTTAGAAAAATATTATATATATAGCATCAAAGTTTGATAAAAATAACTTTCCTTACGGTAAACAATTAAATTTATTATCTACATACATATATATATATATTATATATTAATATCTATATTAAAATATTAGCACTTAAAAGAAAATTCAGTATTTCAACCACGGAACATTCACATAGAAGTAAGAAGAATTAATAACGCCATCTGGTATTATTTCCACTAAATAGAGAGAATTGGCTGTTCCAATTGGTACATAACGTTCCTCTGTTCATATCTCTCGTTCAGAATACTCGTTCTTTTACAAAAAAAAAAAAAAAAAAAAAAAAGGGAAAAAAAAAAAAATAGGGGAAAAAAAGAAGAAAAACAAGAGAAACCGTATGCAATATTTAACTTAGGTGGTACGTTGATCAAACGTTGGTTATACAAGGGTTGAATAGATTTTCCTTTTTAGATCGGTATATTAGAAGAAAAAGAAAACAATTAATAATACCAAATCAAAGAGAGCCAGAGTGATAAACGCAATTAAAGTTTAACAAACAACGTGTGAACGCGCGCGCGCGCACCCGAATCTTGGGAAGATCCTTTGAGCTTTCGTGTTACGTAGGGAAAACAGTGGAAGGAAGAGAGTGTGTGTGAGAGAGAGTAGTGGGCGGAATAAAAGCAAGCATGTTTGTGTGTGTGTGTTCTCTCTGACCGACCGATCGTGTCCATCACACATCGAGCAATTTCATTTTAATCTTTATTTATTTGTCACATTGCAATTATCTAAAAAGAAAGAAAGAAAGAAACGAAGAAAGAAATTAAAACAAAAAAAAAAATAAAGAAGATATATAAGGTTATACGTCGTGTGGGGTTTTTGTCATCCGCGTGTCCGCTCGTTGGTTGTATAACCCTTCCCCATTTGTGTTCCCCTACGTGGGGTTTTTGTCGTCGTGTCGTGTCGTACGTTCCTTCTCATTCAAGTTCATAATTCACCGTCGATCGAACGTCCCAATTGAAGGGGAAAAATAAAATATCGTCTTGGGGTATATTACATATTAGAAAGTTTTCATTTCTTTCTGTTTCTTTTTTTCTTCTTCTTCTTCTTCCCCTCCACTCCCTCACCCCGAATATAAATTAATATAAATGAATATTAGCGAGAACGTATTATTGTTACCATCGTTTCGTACGCGTGTGAAAATAACGTACCTATGAGGACCGAGGCGAGCTACGTAAGTCGGCAACATTTGACGATAGTGGATAGTTCGGAAATTGGTTTGTGAAGTTAATGAGTATGCCGACGAAAGGGAAACAGCACCACCTTGTCCACCATTACCATCATCATCATCATCAACAGCAGCAGCAACAACAGCAGCAGCAACAACAGCATCATCATAACCCACACCAGCAACATCCTCTTGTATTAAACGTTAACGTAAATAATCCTGCTGTTCATCACTTGTCCCAAGGTTATAGTACAACAGTTGTTGCCACGAGTACACCGCGTTATATTTCGAATGCAGGTGAGTCATTTTTATTATTATTCATCATGTTCACATTTTTTATTATTATTCATAATTTTATTCGTTTTTCCTTATTGACTATTTTCAACTTGAAATGCCAACTTGTATAAGAATGCTTTAGATGTGTATACATATATATATATAGATATACATATATGTATGTATCGCATGATAATCAAAATTTGAGGTTAGGATGGTCACGCGGGCCATGTGCCTGCTTGTAGTTATAGCAAGGAACATCACAAAAGAAACACTCATCGTTATATGATGCATATTTATGTATAATACACATATATATTAATATGTATATATATATATCTGAATGTGTTGAAATAATTATTTAAAAGTTTTAAATAAATTTGAATATACGTATACATATATTATATAAAAAAATATTATTAGAAAGGAATATAGAGAGAACAATAGAAAACAATTGTAATTATTTGATTTCTTTTAAAGAATATCTTTCTTTTCTTATCTCTTAAGGTAGTGTATGAATTTACTTAAAAAGAAGTTTAAATATTTATAAGATAGATTAAACTTGAGCAGCATAAAGCCAAAATTGAATAAAGAAGAAATCAGAGTTTTGGGTCAAATACATGATTGAATTTGTTTTTATCTTACAAAGATATCTGAACTTTGAATTAGAATGATATTATCTAGTAAATCGTAGTTATATAACAATTTTTTCTTTAGTTACATATACATATTAACAACTCATGTGATTTAATTTTTCTCTTTTTTGATATTTGTCAAGTATGCTTCTCGTGAAATCTTCTTCACTATCTATATCTTCTCGATACTGTATAAGAAATAGTATAATTCATAGTAGTATGTTTAAGTGGTAAATTCCAAAGACCTTGTGTAGTTATCACATTATGTTATAAAAAGAAAGAAAGGCCCCTATGTGTGGCTGTATATAGAAATCTAATTCGACGAATCAGATCGTTAGAAGATCCTTAAGTTATAAAAGGCGGCTAATACGAAACGTTGATCGTTTACAATCTCTTCTATTTAATTACAATTTTCAAATATAAATCATACTTTGTTTTTTTTTATTATTAAAATTACTATTACATGTATTAAAAAATGTATACGTGTATACATTTTATTTTGAATTTTCACAAATTTTCTTCTATTAATAATAAATACATAACACATAATGTATAGAATTCCTAAATTACGAATGAATACATTCAAACAATTAATTCATATGGCATAAAAAGAGGAAGAAAAAAAAAGTTACATATTACAATTTGCAAACCATATTGTCAATTAGGTTAGTATCATGACGTAGAGTGCATGGTTAATGCGCAAACCGAACGAAAACGAGCCCACTGAGGAGCATACCTTCTATTTTTCTTTTTTTCTCTCTCTCTCTTTTTTTTTTTTTGCAATTCATAGTAGTTATATCGTTGTTTGGTTGGTAAGACTTTATTCTCGAGACTGTATTCTCGCGTGTCCATCATCCGTTCCCCCGGCAGTTCAAAGTACTAAAAACGATAGTTACATAGAATTCGTTCATAAAGAAAGCATTATACATTTAAATTTCATTAAATATTATTTATATCATTTAATTAGTGTAACGTCACGGAATATATCGTTTAGTATTAAAACAAAAAAAAGGGTGTATTTAAAGAGAGATTATCTATTATAATAATTAAAAAGTATATTACTTACTACTCTAACTTAGCAAGTTACGAGCATATGGTTAAAAGTCACCTCGTGTTTGTTAAACGTGTGCGTGGCGTAAATAATCCAACGCGTGTTTTTCTTTTCCCTCCCCGTTCTCTGATTAAAAAAAAAAAAAAACAATTGTAATTAAAAGAAATAAAAGATAGAAAGGGTAGAAAAAAAAAAAGAAAGAGAGAAATCATTATTCGAAGATAAAAATTCCTAAGAGAGAGAAAGGAAAGATATATAAAAGATAATAGAAAAGATAATTATTATTTTCATTCATTCCTTTCACGTAATCAATCAGTAAATTAACAACGGTGATTCTTGCATTCAGATACATATATATATATATACATATATATATATAGGAAACATACGTGTGCAAAATCGCGATTGCATTAAGCAATCATATTTTATACAGGAACAGATATCAATATCTATAGAGATAGTGGTTATTAGAATTTTGAGATAAGTGACGATATTGTTAACAGTATTCGTGAGAAATTTATCGTGTTTTTAGTTCGTCGCGATTATTCCAAGGAAAAACAAGTTCAAAAAGTATTCGCCAAGTAAATTATATAATACTATTTTCTATCTTTTTTGTTTTTTTTTTTTTTTTGGTGGGAAAGGTTTTATCTTCAAACGATAATTTTCGGTTCGAAACCTCTCGTTCCACGTGTCTTAAGTTACTAGATTCGGATATTTTTGGTAATAAAGAAATATTTTTCGTTCTAGTTTTTTTGTTTTGTTTTTTTGTGACACGAATGTTAATAATTAGTGTTGACGGTATTTTTAAACATATATATTTATAAATCTCGTAACGGAGTGTGCACGCCGTTAACATGCGCTTAACCGTCAAGGACACGTGTCATCATTGACTTAGAGACTGCCTACTCGAACTGGACAAACGTCCCCACGACAGCACTGTACGACGGAAATGTCGACAATTGTAGGTAAGTTTGTTGAGAGAGTATATAACACAAATATAGGGTCTTATGTTTTTTACATTGTTTATATTATTTGTCTACTATACCATCGTAAGATCTGTCGAATGTTCGTCGAACTGATCTTACAAAAGAGAAAGAAAGAAAAAGTCTTGACTTTTACTTTTCTTTTTTTGCTTTTTTTTTTTTTTTTTTTTCTTATATATTAAAATGATATTTCGTTTAACATGATTTATACCGATTTATACTATCTTTCCATTCGTTATATTATGCAAATACGATATATAAAAATGCATTTTTAGTTTTATTCGTAAAAATTTATAGTAATTTCACGTGTAACTATTTGAAACGCCATAAGAGATAAGTAGAAAAATTAGTTGGATGCAATTGACCGAGATGGCGCTAGTTGCATTCTTTCTAATTGTTAGTTTTGAATGATATTGCGAGATGGCGCCACAAGTTATAAATTCGATTCTATATACTTGTTTTTATCATATATTTTTATTAATATATATATAATAATATATAAGAAAAATATTAATTTTAACATATTGTTTATTTAAATCAATCCTAAAACGTAGACTTGTTATTATTTTGAACGATAAAAAGCGAAAGAAAGTTTTTATTATTCGATCAGTTTATAGGGGTTTCAAAATTGCTAAAAGTAGATTGGGTTGGTTTTTCTTTTATTTTTATTGTTTAATTTAAATAATAAAAATGATCGACCAAATATAATAAATAAATATCACAATTTTCTCTCTCTATATATATAAGGTAAAATGTTAACGTTTTATAACCGGGTTGCACGGGACTAGATAAACGTACGCAATGTTCAATCGCGATTTTCAGGTGAAAGTCGGTTCAGGTAACAAACTGGAAGTTCGATAAAATCCGGATCATTATTCAGGTGACCAGGTAGAAAGAGAAAGACGCAGTTTATTTTGCGTTCGTCATATATCTTGCAATAATATTATTAATATCATTAGAGAAGATAATATTTAAGAAAAATTCAATTTCTTTTATTTTTTCGTATAATTGAAAAAATTCTTACGATTATCATATATTATTATTATTATTATTATTATAGAAAAAGATTTTCATTTGATTGAAAATTTTGATGCAAAAATAATTCAATTGAAGATATATATTTATTATATAAATACTTATAAAACACAAAATGACTATTTAAAGATTACATTATTGAGTACACACAGAGAATATAGTTGGCAAAGCGAAATGTAAAAGGATTAAAACTGGCGTGTAAAAAGAGAATGAAATACGATTAAGCTTCTCTCTCCGGATGTTCAGCGGCCTCTTTCTTGAGCGCGCGGCCTTGTCAGGAATGCGTATTTTCTACCGGTTCTCCGCGTACTTTACTCAAAGTATTGGTGTTACGAACGTTTGACATTTATCTGAAATATTTCCAAAAAGAAAATATCTACAATTATTATAATAATAATAATCATCAATATATCATTTCAATTATTATATTATCATATAATCCCACATTATTTTTTTAAACAATATTATCATACGATTTGACGAATATTAATTTAATTTTGGAATAAAATAAAATAAATATGGCCGCGCCATATTGGTACACACTTTATTAGGTGGGGGACATAATACATGATACGCTTATATTAAAATGTTCGGTTAAACATTGCAAAAAGAAGAAGAAGAGGAAGAATAAGAAGAGAAAAAAAAATATAACCGAACTGTGGTGGGAAGGGAACACTTTCAACTATCGATGACATAATCAAACGGTTTCTCTTGCACTATGCAACAGGCAGAATATAACGGTAAGGCGTTACTGTCTACACACACACATATAAATTCTTCATTTATAAAAGCATTAAGAACGAAACGCGACGACCAATCAGAGAACCGCGAATAAGGTCTAACCCGTGCTACGTGACATTTCTCATGATTACCGTTTTGGTCGGTCGAGGACTCGATTTACCTGATATAAAACAATACCGTATTTTATTATCATATGTCTCGAAAATAAAGAGAGAGAAAGAGAGATAGATAGATAGATAGAGAGAGGCCATACGATACTTTTTTTCCGATATCATTGTCCTGTTAACACAACGCTTAAATTAAATTCGTAGTCACGTATAAGATTAACGAAATACATACATATATTAAGTTCTCTAACTAATTTATAATAATTTCCTTCTTGTCCGTCGATAAAGAAGTTACCTTTACTGAATCATACACCTTTTTCAAGGAAACGAAATTACCGACTAGGTAAAGCTTGAAATGAATTTTATTTCAAAAAACAAACAAACAACTAACTCATACAATAAAATAAAGAACAAAAGAGAGAATATATTAAAAAAAAACAGAATTTTTTTTCAAAAAGAAAAAACAAACAACTAACTCATCGAATAAAATAAAGAACAAAAGAGAGAATATATTAAAAAAAAAACAGAATTTTTTTTCAAAAGAAAAAACAAACAACTAACTCATCGAATAAAATAAAGAACAAAAGAGAGAATATATTAAAAAAAAACAGAATTTTTTTTCAAAAAGAAAAAACAAACAACTAACTCATCGAATAAAATATAGAACAAAATAAAGAATATATATATTAAAAAAAAAGATTATTGCATTCTAACAAATTGTTATATCAAAAACCATATATTATCAATCTATATATCAATTCATCCATCTTTATTTCACCCTTCTTTCTCTTTCCCAGTTATTAGCCCTTCTCAATTTGGGTAAGGCTCTTGACCACGGTGTTGGCGACGGTGGTTAGGGGGTTCTGTCGGTGCCCAATTTCAGATGGTTTTCAGGGTTAGCACGCAATAACGCGTATTGCTTGCAAGAATATAAAGGCTGTTTGGCAAGGGGTGGCAGGCAGGGTTCGTTGCCCGGACGAGGGAGAGAAAGTCGGGGATATATCGACCCTCCTCTTCCTCCCTTTCATATACACCCCTCCTCCTCTCCTCTCCTTTCCTCGCCTTTCCTTTCCTTTCCTACTTCGTCCAGACGTTCGCACGTTCGTTCATTTCTTTCTTTCGTTGTGTCTGCTGCGTTGAATCTTCGTTTCTCTTATCTTCCTCAACCTCCTCTTCAAATTCTCCTCCCAAACCTCTCTCCCTTTTCTTCTTCCCTCTGACCCCTCCCCCTCCCCCTCTCCCACCATCCCAACCTCTCATTCCGGTAACCTCGTACTAAACGCCCACGTAGAGGAGAGTACTACTGCTCGACACCACGAGGTTTCCATGCTACCTTTCCAAGGTCAACGGCTCGAGGGCTCAAAGACCCCTGGAAAGAGCGACTTGTATGGTTCGTCTCTTCCTCACTTTCCCCCCCTCAGATCCCCTTTTCCTCCCCATTACTTCTACTCCTACTTCTACTTCTTCTTCTTCTTTCTGTTTTTCATGTTGATATCATGATGAAATTATTTTATTTATCGTTTATTATATATCATCGAATATTTGAATTGGGAATGTATTATATTTTGATAATAATTATGATTCGTGTATTTTTTAACATTATTCTTTTTATTTTATTTTATTTTATTTTATTTGTTGTTGTTGTTTAATATATTATTGTTGATTAACTTAATCGTGTATAGGTTTTTCTATATAATTATACAAAATTGATTTTTTCGTAATCCCAATTGTCGAAGTTGCATTTCGTATGGCTTGAATGAAAAAAAAATGTGTCCTGCTTGAACCGGATATTATTAGGAATTGTTGAAAAATCTTTGGGGTCAGTTGAATGCACAGTTTGACTGCTGCTACTTGCTTAAAAATTCCAATCGTTTCCGGAATCTAACTCAGATACCTGGAATTGAAAAATACCCTATCGATGAAACCCTATTTCTTATACCAGCTATATATATATATTTTTTTTTTTTCGATCGATCGGTGTGCAACAGAACCGTTTAACGAAAGAAAAACTATTTCATTCCATTCATATATTTATATATATGACACAGTTACACACATAAATGCAATTAATTATTAGAATTA